GGAACACACCAGGCAGGTCTGAGATACTGTTGTAGAGAAGTTTAAAGCTGAATTTGAACACAAAAAGATTTCCCAAGCTTTAAACATCCCAAGGAAAACTGTGCAAGCAATAACATTATAATGGAAGGAGTATCAGACCACTGTGAGCCTCGGAAGATGCGGCCATCCCTCTAAATGTTCAGCTCAAACAAGAAGAAGATTGAGCCAAGAGGCTAATGATCTACAGCTGAGGTGGGAGACTCTGTCCATAGGACACAATCAGTCGTATACTGCACAAATCTGGACTTTATGGAAGAGCGTCAAGAAGAAAGCCATTTCTTAAATATGTCCATAAGAAGTTTAAAGGTTTGTAAGAATAAAATCTTGCAATTCTTTAAAAAGCAATGACAAAGTATTTTAACCATTGTCTTTAGTGAGGGTAATGTGTAGTTCTAAAATGAGCAAACATGAAGCGTTAAAGGGATATGTGACATGTTTGCAAGCCATTGTCCACTAAGGAATAAGAAAATAAAATGTTGCATGTAAAGGGAAAGAAAAATGCTGGAATTGCTTGCATAAAACCCATAAATGAGTACTGCCTCATATGAATTGTGTTTTTTCCCCACTTTAGCCTAGAGAAATTTCAAGTGTAATTTCTGACCTGCTTTAACCAACTCCAGCTTTCTTGGGTTATTTTTCCCCAAAACTATTTTAAGTGTTGACCCTTGTCTTGATGAGCACAACTAGCTGTAACTCATATGAGCCAACAGACCTCCCAGAATCAGTATAAAGTCAAAAAGCTTGGCCCTTTCTCTGGCCATCTCCTTTCTCTTTGTGGCCCCACTGGCCACTGGCCTTCTTCCAGCCATTTCTATACTTACTCACCAAAGTTAACAGCAGAATAGGCCTAAAAACGCCTCTAACAGCAGGCAAAGAGAGAATTCTTTGTGTTGAAACCACTAAGCAAGACAGCAATGCAGTCTTCTGTTGCTTTTTATGCTGTAAGGCAGCTTCACTGATCTGTGCAATCAGATTACAGCAGTGCTAAAGTTTTAGCAAGCTAATGATTCAGGTCCGCACCCTGTTGACCACTCTTCAACAGAAGGGGTGCTGAACGAAGCTGCAGAGGCTCTCCCATTCTCCAGAGAAAGTTACACATCTGAAAGCAGTCAGGGTGAGGCTCTTCTTAGTCTGCTCTTTGGGATTTCCAAAACCAAAGCCTCTGACTGCCGGACCTTGTGTGTTTCAAAGTTTCACAAAGGGGGCGGGGGCAGAGCAAACCTCTAATAACTTTAATCTGTGCCTCAACTTTTGAAGGTCTGAGGTGGTTAAGTCATATGCCGTGTGAAGAGGACAGTGGGTTGGACATCTGCGCATCTTGGTTGTCTCTGTGGTAATGAGGCCAAAAGAATAAATCAGAGAGTTTGGGGAGAAGGAGGAGCATCAAGATAGCAATTAAGAAATTTGGATTGGCTGAAAAGCTTTTTAGTTTAGTAGGCCCGGGTAGAACAAGCTGAGGAGGGACTCCGACATTATGCCTGATCAAACATTTTTAACTAGATAGGGCCATGTTTTGAGTTATCATCCTTGTTAAAGACCTACTGAGAACACATTCCTATTCAGTTTATTTATATAGCTCCAATTCACAACACAAGTCATCTCAGTCAGATTTGTTAGGAAAACCACCTGATTGCATCTAGTCATTGACTGGCAAGACATGGTCCTCCTGAAGGAGCTTAACCCCGAAATCCCACATCCTCCATCACCGCCCATTCCGTTCCAGACCACCTACGCAATGCAAAGCCTGTAGCCTTTGTGGTTCCTCCTGTCTTGCTCGGCTCAGATAATCCTCGAGGGGAGCATGCACGATATTATTATTATTAAATTTGTGGGTGCAAAAGAGGCAGTAATGAACGCTTGATTTAATGACATAATCAAAACTCAATATCAGCAGGAATCACACGTTTCTACCCAAACATTTCTTTTCGTTGTGGATCTTTGTACTAGGTATAATTAGAATCATACAAAATTGGTTTGTTCTCTACTTCCCAATTCAGCATCTCTTCATCCATGCCTGTGTTAAGAAGTTGTAAGATGCACTATTGGAATCTGTTGTGACTGGATTTGATAAAACTTTTAAGCCTCTCAGGATAAAATAAATATTTTGATCATATGGTATGTTGAAGTACCAATATTTTGCATCCAATAATTTAATTAAACGGGTTTAGTTTTGGGGAATGTATAAGAATTATGCTCTAATTTGTAGTAACCAATCTGTCGTTACCAATTTTTTTAATTTGATAAACCAACATTGTTTTTCCTGTTTGGTTCGATTGCAATTGCCCATCTTTACCTGGCCAGCTTCCAATGGAGTCGGAATGGAGCAAAAAATAGCTTCGCTCCGTATTTTGACAGTGAAGGACGGAGAAGACATACGTGGACAGTGACGTGCGGGGGAGTAGCAGTGGATGTGGAATAGTTATGATTGATTAACACGACTGCAAAAGTGTGGGGCGGAGCAGTGACCGAAGATGTGGAATCTGGGGGTGAGATGACAACCTTCAATTGCATTTTGTCGTTGATTCTTAAGCAATCCCTCACACCCCACATGCATTTAGAGACAGTGGAGAGGAAAACTCCCTTTTATCAGGAAGAAAGCTACAACTTAAATAGGCTCAATGTGAGCGGCATTCTGCTGAGGCTGACTGGGATTCAAGGAGACAGAAGCAGACATAGAAAAAGAAACAGAGATACAAAAGGTAACTGTTAACTAGCTCCACAGGCGGCCCCATCCAGGAAAAACACAGCCAGGCCTATTTTGCTAGTCACAGTAAAACAAACGGGACTACACTAGAAACAGGCCAATCTCCAACATCTATAAACAGAGATGCTGATGGCAGCAGCACAGCTGATGTTTCAATCTATGATGGAGTCACAGCTGAACGGGAACAGACCAGGTGAAGCTACTAGGATGAGGTAAAAGATGAGAGAGCATAAAGTTCTGAGTGGAACGTGAAAAACCTGCAGAGTGGGAGAATATAGACAGAGTGAAGTAAAATAAGGAAAAGTGGTCCCTATGTGATGCAGCAGCCTAAACATAAAGCAGCACAAATACGTCATAGGATAACCAAACTATTTTGGATAGGGCACAAGAAAGGTGGAGCCACAATGGGGCCACGTGAACTTTACTGTACGAGTTTTCAGTACAAATCTCCCGTTTATCCAAATGATTCTTCTTCTTTATCTTCTTGTAATAAAATTTGATGGCAGTTGACCAATTAACTATAGATATACAATTTAAAATAGTTAATAGTGCCATTAATTTTTAAAAGGTTATCTTGGTATGAAAGAGAAACTTTATTTACCAAACAACAAAAATAAACCTAGTGACCAATTTAAGTAGCATTTTCTCTTTTTTTCCCCCCTATTTGGTAAAAAATTCAAGATAATTGGACCACAGCTTATAGTCATATCAATATCCTAGGGAAGCATTACAAAGACAGAAATAATTGGGTACAGTAAAAAAAAAAAAGTATAGTACAGATTTTTAAATTGCTTCAATTCTTTAAAGCAAACAGGAAATCTGGGTTTTTGTTAAAAATCTGAAGGTTTTCAGGTAGGAAGCAACCTGTGCCAAACATGAAAATAATAAAAGTTTGGCTAAATGAAATCAAGCTCTGATGATGATGAGGAAATATGGCGCTTGCGGTTCTGATGAGTCAAAAAGCTGACCTTTTTCCTTTCCTTTAGTTATTTCATATTTTCCTATTTGTTTCTATCACATTCTGGACTGAAATGTAAAATACCTAATAGAGATAATCATAAGTCAAGTGTTCTTGGTTCATTCAAAACCAAGTTTCATAAAATTCAACAATGGGGGAAATTCAGTTCATCTTTTGTTGGTCTTACTGGACCCAGAAAAAAAACCCTTAACAGTCCAGGAGCGATTTCATGCATAATGCACCTAAATCACAACAGCCTGTATTTGTGTCACTGAGGTGGAAACCAAATAAAATTAACGAATCCCTTTGGCATAATTAAGTGTTTTACATCACACCTCATTAAATTACACTTAAATTAGGCTTAGTAGTTAGGGAGAGTATGTAAGAAAAAACCTATAAGCTCCCATTGTATGCTGGGAGAACAGAAAGCTCTGTTAACTACAGAAAACCTTCACTATGCCTCTCAGAATGATCTGAAAAGTTTCAAAACAAATAAAGAACGCATGGTTGATCCCGTAGTGTAAACAGATGAAAGAGTCCACACATGTACACATAGCGTGAACACACAAACATTCTCTCCCACTCACTGCCATACAAGCTGATGTGCCTCCCAGGTATTTCTGGGATGAGATATTTAATATGCTGCGGCATGCGGTGTTTTTGCAGGATTCCTCGTATTTACAAAACCATAGAGCCCACGAGGCAGGCTGAGCATCCCAGTAATTAAAACATGCTGGGAGGTCCACCAGCGAAATGTGTGAGAATATTTGCTCTACGGTGAACAGCATCTTATGACACTCCTCCTAATTCCTCTTCTCTCAGCCCTGAAAGCTCGACCACTTCGTTTCTGCGCTGCTGATTGTTCAGGAGGCGTCCTGTTGGCTCAGACGTGGGGGTCATTGAGAGATTTACTCTGAGGTTGACAAAAAAAACAGACTATGAAAGGAAGGGTTCGCACTGTATCAAAGAAGGCCGGGTATCGTGGGAATTTGAGGGCAGGGATTTCACCATGTGCCCCACATTCATAAATCAGTGGAGGGTGAGTCATCGAGTGGCCAGTGGTGAGTTCTCTGTGATTTGGTCACCAAGTTTAGTGTATCTAGAGTGGAAAAAAAAGCCTTTTTGCTCAAATCTGTATATATGACGACCACTGATGATTTCACCCATAAACCAGTGGTTTTCCTACTGAAACAATTAGAAGATCATGATATAAAAATTGAACTGCAGTCTTCCTGTGCACTAAGCAGCAGCACCTCTGAGAGAAGTTGCCTTCAGCTTCAGAGGTCTGGTGGGTCTTACCTGAACAGGTGTCAGCTGGGCTCTGGGATCAAACACTCTCAGCATCTTGTCCTACAGGAGAAGAGAGAAGGTTTAAAAAAACGACAATGATATTTCTCATAAGTAAATATTCAACATTTACAGTTATATGTAAATGCATTGCTATTTCTACTGTATATCGATATGTCACAACAGAATTAGCCTTTCAATTAATTTTAAGTTAATAGTGGGTCCTTCCACACTGGAGAACTGCAACGAATTGCAGAGAGAAGAAGCTCACATTACAAAGAAAAAGAACATGGAAGACTGCTCTAACTAGAAGCAACTAGATTGTGGTTTTTGAGAAAGTTGCTGTTAAAGCACATTTACTTTTTCCTTTCTCTCATAAACCTGAATCTCTCTCTTTTACTTTTCTTCTTAAGGCTCCCTCATCAATAATCCATGGATGAAAAAAAAGGTGTTTTATCAAAATGGTGTGAAAATGAGCGTCAGCCAGCAAATTTCTTCCTATACACGATAAACAAAAAAGTAATAAATCCTGCTTAAATACACTAAAATGTAAATCTGTATCAGTCTGTGTGCTGAGGAGCATAAAACACATGAAAATTAACCAGGGGACACTTCTCAGAAAATATTGGCTCAGCAGATTAACTCCTGTGATGACCCATGAGTTGGACTCAAAAACATGTGTCATTAAAATATCTGCGTAATGTTATGTAAAAGCAGGCTTAGTTGGCACTGCTGAAGTAATCTGAAGGGAGCATTTTATCAAAGATCCTACTGCTGGTGCATGATGAGTGACTTATTAGCTGCTTTAGATTGTTCAGGTGAAACCATCTCATAGATCTGCAGGGATCTGACACCTGTTACAAATAGAAGCTAGGAAGAACCTCGTGTCACCCGCTGGTACTACACTAAATTCTTGATGTTCAAAATTTTTCCTGCAGCTGCACTAAATTTGCAGCAAATTGTGATTCTATAAAAGAATTTTGTAGTATGAAAGCATTGCCCTCTATTATGCATGAGGTCCCAGGAACTTAAAAACAACGATGCTAGATAACTTCATCCTAGTGGGTTTTGTGTTTATAGCGATGCCAAGTGTTCTCTTCCTGAGTGATGCTCTTAAATATACCCCTGTGAGTGAAGTCTGTGGAGTTTAATGTATGNCTAGTGGGTTTTGTGTTTATAGCGATGCCAAGTGTGCTCTACCTGAGTGATGCTTTTAAATATACCCCTGTGAGTGAAGTCTGTGGAGTTTAAAGTATGTATATAATTTTACAGATTGCTGTAAGCCAGGAGTCTCACCCTTCAGGGATCTATGTCCTGTCGGTACCGATCCAATGCACCGGAATGAAATGGCTGAATGCCAGTTTTAGGCTGAAATCCAGTTCCAATGACTACAGCATCAAAAAACGTGTCAGCTACCGCTTCCACCACCTCGTCATTTAAAGGTGTAGTGGAGGATGTTCTTTTTCTGGGTGGATCATCAAAATAAGTGGTCCTCCTAATTGTCAATTATTCTAGTGATATGTTTATATAAGGCTGTCCCACATACTCGTCCCCATGTTCACTAACCGGTGATGAGTCTGACATAGTGGAAAAATTGCAGGTACAATAGCGGGTACAGGGTTGTGCATGACAGTACATTTTTTTTTTTTAGGTGGAGAGGAAGGTCTTTTCAAAAATTCCCAAAAATCCTCCACTATACCTTTAAACACAAACTCCTCATTGAAAGCACAACATTTTTGATTGCATATTAAACCTTTGACCTTCCCTGCAACCATGAGAGATTAGTAAACCCTCAGCTTACAAATTTCAATGTGAAAGAAGACAAAATGTAGCTCTGGCTTTAAATGTAATTAAAAGATACACGATTAACACTAACATGCTTAAGTCTTGAACGTAGTTTTTAGTTTTCAGTTTGTAGCTACACTTAAAAAGCTCAATCCATAACCAGGACACCAATATGCTGCTTCCAAGACAGTGATTCACAGCCATCTCACCATTTCTGCACTTTCAAAGCAGTCAAGCTATGTAATGATAGTCTCACTAAAACTAGAAGACATTGGCCCCCGAAAAGACAATCTACTTCCTGACTGATGCGATTTGTTTCACAGCGTGTTAGCTGAGTTGTGTGAGCATTTTCAAAGGTTAGGGGTGTGACTCAAACATCAAAAGAGCTTAAAGCAGGGACACAAGGATTTCTCTCTATGGGGTGGATCGCAGACAGCTATCTGCAGACAACCTGTGTCTAACCAATGGAGTGTTTTTTTTTTAAGTTGACCTGCTGTCTTAGCCCACTCACAGAGCCCAGGAGGCTTTAGCCCTGGAGTTGAAGAGCCATAAACAGTTTGTCAGAACCAGACCAAGGTGTCTCCAGTTCCCCTCCAAACCAAAGACCCATTACTGCACCTTTTACTTCTTCTGCATCATTTCCAGTCAAGCAACTGTCAAATGAAATGCTTCATTTTGAAAAAAATCTGGATGTCATGTATAAAGAGATTTGGGGGGCAGGAAGGTATTTCTGGTTCTTGCTTATTCTCTCAGTACAAATGATGCCTTCCCTGATTCCCCCCCTGGCAAAACAACACAGGTATCACATCTGTACTACATTATTAAGAGGCAGCATATTTCTCTATCCATGGCTTATTAATCAATAAGATGCAAGGCCCTGTCTTTAACAAAGCAACACGCATATAGACTATTAACTGAAGCCTTAAAAAATGTCCTTTTTATTTGAGCATAAATGCAGTAAAATAATGTTAATGCTATTCAAGTGTTTAGTCATTCAATCAGAAAAAAATCACACTGATTTGGAATGAAATCCTGTGACCTCTCCGTGGCCTCATACTGGCTGACCCCAGTCCCCCTAAACACAAACATCACCTGACAAAGCAGCCAATCAGAGAGACTTGTACGTGATTGAAAGGAAATGATGTCTAATGGGATCAGTGTGTGTCGCCCTTCTATGTGCAGCCGTAGCTGTCATTTAATACTTGTGTGTGACTATGATCCCAGCGACTGCTCCACAGATGGAGATGATAGCAGGTAATGCTTATGAGCACTTAGGCTCAACCATGCGACAGCAAATATACACATGTCAGAGGGAATCAGGAGGCTGACTACAACACTAAAAGCCCACAGAGACACACATACGACAAGTGTTAAACCGTGTTTTTTTCCTGTTATGCTTTTAGATAAACACAAATGTTGGAGAATCTGATCAAAGCTTTATCTCGTCTTTATTCTGATCCACTCCGCAATTAAAATAGGCATATATTTGTTATTTTTGACACGAAAAGCCAACATTTTTATAAATAAATACCTTTTTTCTGAGGGTTTTAGATTTGTCTTTGTCTGTGCAGCCCACCCACGAATAAGATGCCCCCCAGCTCTGTCTTTAGGCCTCTGTGACCTGAGAGTAAGCCCCCGGCTCAGAGAGCACTCTAAGGACAACACACAAACAAATCTTCTCTCTATGACCTTTGGACAGGGATCCACCTGTTCCATCCTCTAAACTTTAACTAAACATTTTGACAAATTCGTTTTCCACAACCTTAAGGATTTTTTCTCTAAATGTCATTGACCTAAAAGTTTAAAAATGTTAACTTTTATCCAAGTCTGCTATAGAAAAATAAAACACGTATTTGCTTAGATAAAATATAAATATAACAGACCTTCTTATAAACAATTACACATACAGAAGCTTAAAAACAATCAACCCTGCCATATATAGGCAACAGCATAATGGCAGTGGAGAAGCAAATACTTTGCAAGAAAGAGATTAGTTGTGGTTTTCCAGTTTTCTTGGGCATCTAACAAAGTGGTGTTTTTTCCCCCCAGAAATATTCAAAGTTTTTGCATTTCCAAGTTCTGTGGAAACATGGTGAAGGACGGTCTAAGTTTACACTCTCTTCCAAGAGACATTAGACATCCTAAGAAAGTGTGAGCATGTTGTCCAAATCAGGAGCAAAGACACAGTTACTCCCAATAGTCTCAATAAAACTCAGATTAACTCTGTTCTGAGGAAGGAAAGCCATGACCCCTCCCCACCCCCCACTAAATGTCTTCAGCCTCATGAAGCGTGTCATAAATGGACACAAACAGTCCATATATGAACTCAATACCAGGAAAACACCAATGCTACTAAAAGCTACGACACATATACTTAGATCCCCTGATATTTTCTTTCAAAATTTCTTTCATAGCCTGTTAGTTGAGTTTTCTTCTGCATTTTCAAAGTTAGGGGAGTGAACTAAACAAGAAAATGCCCCTAAAAGATCAGCAGTGATGCACTGATCCATATTTTTCCACTTCTTATCCGATTCTAATACTTCAACTTGAAAATTTGCATACAAGGTTAAAAAGGTAAAGGTACTTAATTTGTCATTGTGCATACAGGGTATATACTACATTTAATGGAACAAATCAAATGGATGACCAGCATGTCTTTAGTGGTGGGGGAAACTGGTAGTAGGAAACCTACGCAGCAATGGGGAGAATGTGCAAACTCCACAAAGAACAGTCCCTGCTGAGACCAGGACTCGAACCCAGGACCTTCTGGCTGTAAGGCAAGAGTGCCAACCACCACTCGAGCTCTGTTTGCTTTAATTTGATCATTATTGCTGTTGATTTCTTTATGAGAAGAATGATATGTATGAATGTACACATGTATGTCCCAAAAGGTAAACTGAGGATGGAAGGAGGTCAGAAAAGGAAGTCATAAAAACGACAAACTCCATTCTGACAACAATGATGCAGCTTTACAGATTTAAACTGACTGATCAAATCAAATATACAAGACCGTGAAGCTGTAACAATTTTTTGCAGTTCAAGAGATCCTAAAATTAAATTTATTAAAGCTTTAGACTGAATAGATCTGCCTCTACGGATCAGACCCATTTTCAATGTATATGAATCTAGATTTTTCTTCCAAATTGGGAGCGATACCAATAATATCTGCTCAGTGCATCTCTAAGGATTTCTTTCAGTAGTAGCCTTTCCTCCGCTGTTTACTTCAGGATAGAGATAAGCTTCAAATTCACCTCAGTCATTTTTTTTTTCATCGCTAT